AAAATCCAAAAGTAGAGCGAATTCGAAAATTTGAGCCTTTCCACATATTTCTGATTTTGTTTGATTTTTACAGACAGTCGCTCTTAAATCCTAGTTTAGTCTATATGTAAAACATGTGTCCTAGTGGCTATGAATAAATCGGAATTAAGGTATGGGAGATTCAAAGTTGGTACATTTAGGTTCTCATGAAAAAATATTGGGTCGAGTCACCTTAAGCTTAACTAAATTCAAATTAAACAAAAACAATTTTCAACTAGAGTGGTTTCTAGAAAAGGATATAAGTAAGACTCAGGAGAAAATACTTTGACAAAAGCTAAATGAAGTCTGGAATTTATTCACCCAAGAGTTTAAAAGTGGTGAAAACTATGACTGGAAAAAAGTGCTATCATTTAGAATCTCGCCTCTGGCTCATGATGAAAACTTTTCTTGTGTTTCTTCTAACATCCTGAGTGCTCTTTTTTCACCAACATAGGCATAAAACTTGGCTTCTATTGTTTAAACAAGTTGTTTACAATAAAGAAAGGAATCCCAAATCTCCTTGAAACTAAATACATTCAGTGACAAACAATTGTTAAGCTTAACTTACTGTTTAGATTGCCTGGAGTATAAGAAATTACTTGGCTTAACGTCTCGGTGTATGACATCAAACGAATGCACCCTCTTGAGGGCAATAAATAAGTTTTTCAGGTACTGTCTTATTTCACAAACACTTAGTTCAAGATAATAATCCTGTGGGAGAAAAATAACATATAGTTAATACTGTATATAAAAAGTTAAATAAAGTGTACAATATTCTTAGTATTGATTTTATCTGATGTGAATGTTGATTATGGTAACTAAAAGTATTTCTTCATTCAAAAGTTGCATCTTTATGTTGTGAAGGTTTATGCTCCCAATATGCAATTTCATGATTGGGCATTTTTGATATTTTTAGTGTCTTTCTGGATCTAAATGTTCTGCAAGCCACAGAAAAACCATATTTGGAGATTTGAAGGACAAATTTTGACCAGTGTGAAGCTGGTGTCAGGGTTATTTTGGGGGGGGCATCACATTTTTGACATTTAACTTACCTGAAATTTCTGATGTGGAACATAAGGAAGTACAAATACTATGTGATCATTCTTTCTATAGGCTGTTTCAATCCCTACAACATTTTCTCTTCCTCTGTATAGAAAAGATGAAATTAATGAAATGGTCTGACTTATGTCAAAACATCCAGGAATATTTATTTTCGCCTTGGTAAAATGTTACGAGTTTTCCTCAATGTGGAATAGCCAATACACATTCAATTCACATTTCATATTTAGTATAAACCTACTAAATTATTGTCTATTACATGTACAAATCTTGCAATCTGTTTGGCTGAGCTACTTGAGTGATAAACCTGACTAACAAGTAGTGAAAAGTAGTAGTTTGAAAACCAAAACAAAAAAACAATTATTTTAACCTAATTTCAACATTGTTTGTATTTAAGGATGGTGCCTACTATTGTCAGCGCCCACACTTACTGTGCCCCTGCATCAAGGGATTCCCGCGGGTTTCAAAAGCAAAACACTCAAAGGTACAGAAAACGTCGCCCTTGGAAAAAATTAAGACCAAGAACAACAGCAATAACTATTATTTATGTAGTCAAAGATGTATCACAGAGTAATTTTCAAGAATTCAGGTGTTTTTAGCGAAAAATCATATGTTTTTACTTTCTAGAAAAGGCCGTTTCAATGGCCCCAGATCGGTGAATAACAAAATAACTTTTTCAATATTTCCATACACATAAGCTTGGTTGGTTTGAAGCTAAATGAAAATTGAAAAGGAATTACACATTACACCAAATATCAGCCATTCATTTAGCTTTTCCTGCGAGTACAA